TATGAATTTCACAATACTAGTTAAAATAAGTTGCTGGTCATCCTAATACCGGTATATCTTCTCAATAAGTTAAATGATGAATAAAATTAAATTTTGCGTCTATGACTTTTAGACCTTGCATATTCCAAATGTCAAAATATTTATATTCGTACTGTAAACGTGACTACGTTCAACGAATGACGTTGTAGACATAAATCATGCCATAAATGCAGCATTTTAGCAATAAAAAAGGAAACTTTGAAATAATTTAGCGAAAAATCTAGCGAGAAGACATATTGATTTTTTTTATATCATTAGTTTTGAATTGACCTCATTTTGACATTTTTAAATTCCTGACTAATTCGTCTACGTCTTTAAAAAGTTATCCATCCTTTTTAAAAGAAACTATTTTCACAAAATTGGCTTAAAAACGTCATTTTTCCATATATTTTAATAGTAAAGCGAAAAAATATACTAATAACTATACCGCGTTTACAGTAATATAGCATTAAAACTACGTAGGCAAATTTTATAAAAATTGCAGATAATACGTTGTAAATTCTCAGAAACATTATATCAAATTTTCAGGATATGTTTTCTCGTAGGAATTTTTATGCAGTAAACCCGCGACCTACCTTAAGGGGGCCTATGTCGTTCTACGTCAAGGCAGCGTTATGTGACGTCACAATATATAGCGACGTTTGTTTTTACATGTTGACTTTTGCAATTGTGATATAGGCATAAAATTGCTGATAATCAATTACGTACACAATTTACAAAAAGGAAAATTTATTCATCATTAATCACATTTTTATTTTATTTGTGGAGTTTGTTAATATTAGAATTCTCTTCCTTTGGTTGATAATTCATAGCAATTTCTGTTGTGAAAAAATACCTCGATAATATGCTGATATAATAGTGCAAAAAAAGAGATAAAATTCAGCAAAGAAAGCGGCTTAAATCAGGGAAATATGTTTAATTTTATAATTACCATTAATCGATTTCTATAGAAAACTAAGAAAAAAATTAAGAAATGTACTTGTACAGGTGTATATTTGCTTATTGCCTTATATAGTTCATGTAGATTTTATTGTTTAAAGTCATTCCTAGGTTCTAATAGGCATTGGTTGTTGACAGGGAAATGTGGGGTGGGGGGAGAGAAACAGAATGAATGGAATGTAGAAAAAAATTTATCTATTTAAATTGCTTCTAATCAAAACAATTAAAATACTCGTTTTCCGCAAAATAGTTTTATATTCAGGTTTTTGTCAGTGCTTCCTTACCCTTTTTTAGTGTAGAAAGGTCAATAATTATGACACAAGAGTACAAAAATGAAAGGAAACGTCATATTTATACCCGCACTGTCTAAAGAAAGTTCGGGTATATTGTTGTTACTCATGTCCTTCCGTCCGTCTGTCACACTTTTCTTCCCTGAACTCCTCCTACAAGTCCGATCTTAAGATGATCGTAAGATCTATCTTAGGACAAATCATACGATAGTTTTGTGAAACGCGGCCCAGGCGTCTTACCTGTTTGAAACAAGACTGTGGAGCAGGTAAACAATCACATTCATTCAAGTAAGAAAAACTACCTGTAAGATTTAAATTATACAAATCTGGGGTGGGGGGCTGCAAATTCTACTCCTACTGGAATTTTTAACACCCCAATTCCATTTCCTTAACGTGAACCCCACACAGGACCTTTTTATTTCCGCATTCATACTAGCCAAAACTAACTTGCATAAAATTACCAACAAGCAGTATAATATTATTTTTACTGGTTTCAAATTTCACTCTTAATAAAGAACAAGAGGCCCAGGGGCCACATCGCTCACCTGAGCAATTGGCTAGGAAAAAGCACATTTCAGATCAGAACTGAAAGTTTACTGGGAGGGGCGGGGGGTGGGGGGAGGAGGGGGCTTGAATTTTAACCCCCCAGGGGGTCATGATTTGAACAAACTAGAATCTACACTACCTGAGGATGATTCCCTATGAATATCACTAAGCATGGCTTTGAAGTACTTGAAAAGAAGATTTTAAAAGGTTTCCCTATATTCCTATGTTAATCTTTTATTGGTCATTTGGCCCCACCCTACCCCCGGGGGGGGGGGGGTCATGATTTGAACAAATTTGAATCTACACTACCTGGGGATGATTCCACAGGAGTTTCATCTTTCCTGTCTCGAAGGTTCTTGAGAAGAAAATTTTTCCTATATATTCCTATGTAAAACTTGATCGGCCATTTTGGCCCCATCCTACCCCAAGGGGTCATGATTTGAACAAATTTGAATCTACACTACCTGAGGATGATTTCACATGAGTTTCATCTTTCCTGGCCCAGTGGTTCTTGAGAAGAAGATTTTTAAAGATTTTTCCTATATATTCCTTTGTAAAACTTTGATCGGCCATTTTGGCCCAACCCTTCCCCCGGGGGTCATGATTTGAACAAACTTGAATCTACGCTACCTGAGGATGATTTCACATGAGTTTCATCTCTCCTGGCCCAGTGGTTCTTGAGAAGAAGATTTTTAAAGATTTTTCCTATATATTCCTATGTAAAATTTTGATCGGCCATTGTGGCTCCACCCTACCCCCAGGGGCCATGATTTGAACAAACTTGAATGTACACTACCTGAGGATGATTCCACATGAGTTTCATCTTTCCTGGCCCAGTGGTTCTTGAGAAGAAGATTTTTTAAAAATGCCATTATTTTTCTCTAATTCATGATTATTTCCCCTTGGAAAAGGGCGTGGCCCTTCATTTGAACAAACTTGAATCCCCTTTACCCAAGGATACTTTGTAGCAAGTTTGGTTGAAATTGGCCCAGTGGTTCTTGAGAAGAAGATGAAGATGTGAAAAGTTTACAACGACAACGACAACGACGACAACAACGACGACAACGACGACGACAGACAACGGACAAATTGTGATCAGAAAAGCTCACTTGAGCCTTTGGCTCAGGTGAGCTAAAAAGCCATTCAAGGTGTTTATGAGTACATGTAACAGTATCTTTTAAAATCAATATAATGTTATAGTATCGGTATGTAAAAAAAAAAATTTAAAAGGGCATGCATATTTTTTCTGATTTTCCATTTCGAATCCATACTTCAACAACCAAAGAAGAAAAATCCGGCAGTATATATGATTCAATAAAGATGCAGAATTTCTTCATTTTATTGACTACAATATATTGCTATTTATGAATAATTGATTGATTGATTGATTGTATACTGTTTAACGTTCCTCTCCAGAATATTTCACTGATATGGAGACGTCACTATTGCCGGTCTGCAAATTTAGGCCTTTGCTCGGCACTTACGGCCTTTGAGCAGGGAGGGATTTTTATCGTGCCACACCTGTTGTGACACGGGACCTCGGTTTATACGGTCTCATCCGAAGGATCACCCCATTTAGTCGCCTTTTACGACAAGCAAGGGGTACTGAGGACCTATTCATGTATGTTATTCAGTTCAATCAGATTTAATGAAGTTTGGAAAAAGTCAATGAAAATAAATTTTGTTTAAACCTTAAGGTAGGTCGCGGGTTTACTGCATAAAACTTCTTACGAGAAAACATATCCTAAATTTGATATAATGTTTCTGAGAATTTACAGCGTATTATCTGCAATTTTTATAAAATTTGCCTACGTAGTTTTAATGCTATATTACTGTAAACGCGGTATTGTTATTAGTACATTTTTTACGCTTTACTATTGAAATATATGGAAAAATGACGTTTTAAGCCAATTTTGTGAAAATAGTTTCTTTTAAAAAGGTTGGATAACTTTTTAAAGACGTAGACGAATTAGTCAGGAATTTAAAAATGTCAAAATGAGGTAAACTCAAAACTAATGATATAAAAAAAAATCAATATGTCTTCTCGCTAGATTTTTCGCTAAATTATTTCAAAGTTTCCTTTTTTATTGCTAAAATGCTGCGTTTATGGCGTTATTTATGTCTACAACGTCATTCGTTGAACGTAGTCACGTTTACAGTACGAATATAAATATTTTGACATTTAGAATATGCAAGATCTAAAAGATGTCATAGACGCAAAATTTAATTTTATTCATCATTTAACTTATTGAGAAGATATACCGGTATTAGGATGACCAGCAACTTATTTTAACTAGTATTGTGAAATTCATATTCTGATCACAGAGTCAGAATGAACGGTATAAACATTCCTCGTGCATGAGAATTAACATGCAGCGACAACAACGCGAGTGGTAAAATATTAGTTCCTGTATTTTTAGGAAATTCATGGTGAATGGGATTTCAGGCATAACACATAAATTTGATCACTTTATTCGAAAACGGTAAAGAAAAATCTTCCAGATACTTGGTAATTAGCGGGGGGGGGGGGGGTTTTTTTTTTTCTATATTAGACGCAAGCTTGTATAAAGACCTAACTCTTAAACATCTGTTATATTCGAATTTTCATAATGAAATTTCCATACGAAAAATGTAAAATACTTACTTGCATTTAGTTTTTGCACTTTTGTTTTAAAACTTATAATAATAGAAAAAAAGGATACTTGTAAATTGTTTACAGTGTCATATAGGTCTTACAGTTCAGGTGTTTGTATAAATTTGGATTTTGAATGCATTTCACAATTTAGCCAGTTAAACAAGGAAACTACACGAGATTTAAATACATAATAACCAAACAATACTTAGTAACAATGATGATGATAATAAGAAAAAACAGGAAAATACATGTATTAAATTTAATGCGTTTTCAGTGTTGAGGATTGATTCCATCCTAAAACTTATACGCATATTTTCGCCCAAGCTTTGATTAGCAGTCATTATACAATATGCATGTTCACCTGAGTTGCAAATAACGTGTGCAAATATAACCCCTCAAGTTTCGATCTGCTAAATAATTTTATTTATGATAACTTTCTTTCTGCATACCATAACTTTCACGCTGACTTATTCTGATTGACATTTAGCAGTTTAGTAATACTTACAATATAAATTATTCCTTTCATTTGGTATTGTATTTAAAGAGCCATTCTCTATAAGCACCAAAATTTGATGGAAAGCCATAGTCACCGATTTTAATAAAACTTTTGTAAATTAATACATACTACTAGTCAAGTATACTGGTATATGCAAAATGACGGGATACTGCTGTTTCCATGGAAACCAGCAAGTCATACTTTTGTCACATTTGCTATTATTTCCTTTATAATGTATGTTGCTGAAACTCATAAACGCAGCAACACAATTCAACAAAACTAATCCTGTAGAAAGATTATAGATATATAAGTTAACCTTCAAAAAATTGGAGGTGTGTTTTTTAAAATAAAGAAAATAAAGCCTTGTAAATTTGCTGTTTTTCAAGAGAAAAGTGCTAAATTTTATCAAGAGTTATTTCCCTTCGTGTAACTCTTTTGTGTTTCCTGTGAAAAAAGGAATGTTTTCTGCCAGCAGAAGACTTTCAGATTGGTTTGCTGCTTCGTTTTTACTACAAATTCCACTTGTCAGAAGATGTATATAATTTGAATTCAGTTGATATGAATAATAAGGACATAATACTAACAGAATGTGGTATTTTGCCGTCCAGTTCTGAAAATAGGGAAATTTGTTCCACACATTTTTCTCTGCCGTTGAAACAAAACAGTGACTGAGTGAGGTACGAAGAAATTTGGTGTCAAGTGCCATTCCTTATTTTAAAAAAAATCTGGTGAATCATAATTCATTCCATGAGAAGCAGAAATCCAACAGACTGATCCCAGTCACCGGTGTACTCTAAATACACAGAGGCCAGAGGACTTGTTCTTCCTGGAACCTGTGAGTATTGTACAGTCAGTGTTTACTAGTATGTATAGTGGAATATTTATTATTTTAAAGTGCACATTTCTGTTTTTGAATAAATGTTCTTATTAGGGTTTAAATAACATGATTAATGTTTAAACAAATGTTAATATAAATTTTGATTTAAAAAATAAGTTAGGGGATCATGCTTAAATTATTTTAACAAGCATATAGTACTTTTAAAAAAACTATTTTAAAACAAGATTTGTATGAATTATATATCTTTTGATTATCTGCTCAAATAAACTTAATTCAATTTGAACTTTTAGCTCTATGCACCAGCCTGTCTCGTGAAGTTGAATGCTCAAACAATATGAAGAGGATGAAAATCTAGCTGACAATTAAAACAGGAAATATGATCAGGTTTGCGGTACTACGAATCACCGGAATGCCCCGTAATCACCGAAATGCCCCAAGAAATCACCGAAATGCCACCGAAATGCCCATTATTTTGTTATATATAAACAAAAAATTAATAAAAATTGATGACTTTAACTGTTCTAGAGCCTAGATACCGAATAAAAATGTCATAATTTTAACGTAAGTATTTTTATTTGAACAGAAGATTGTGTATGTTATAGTATCTAAGAAAGATAACTCTCACTGATTAAAGGCACGTGCCAAAATAGTCTTATTTTTAATTTTTCCCTTTTTACTGTTTTAAATATATTCTAAATAATAAGTCATATTTTTCATATCAATTAAAATTTTGTTTGTAATATTATTTACATATATTCTTGATTTCTAAAAACGGAGTACACTAGTGTTGTTTTACTGGAAAGTCCTATCTTTATATTAAGTTTTAAAGCAAATAGAGAGATCTTTTTTACGTTTAGTTTAAAAAAAATATTTACCATGTATGAATTTAATAAAATTTCATTGTTATCTGATATTAAAATGGGACTATTAATGCAACATTTGTTAAAAATCTTATTATTAAAAGTTTGATTGGATCTCTCACTTCTCATCAGTACAGTAACAGCTGTATAAAATAGAATCAATGCTTGAATACTGTGATTGTCTTTTTGGAATTCTATTCAATTTAATTTGTATGAATGAATCCTAAAGAATATTTGATCCTCTGGTAACTACCAAAGAAAAGAACTGCCGTGTTTAAAGAAAATAACAAAATTTATCAAAATTATAGTTTTGTTTCGTTTTTGTGTTTATGAAATAATATTTTTTTTTAAGTTTCATATTTTTTTTTTACTAGTATTAATGATTGAAAAATGAAGACAAAATTAATTTGATTTATTATGTTTAATTCGTCTGAAACAAATGGATATCTGAAATTATGTTTACTGTGTATACATGGACAGCTAATCTCACTGGGATTAATTAAGTAATTGATCTATTGACAGGTGTGTAGTATTATGTCATATTACATAATTGGGTACATCACAATCAGTGATTGAAATTACGCACGTGCGCTATACAAACATTGACATCAGGTATCCTGGGATAATGAACTACATTTGATTCAATAGAAATAGTAAAATTTGACAATTTTACTATATATATTTTTTTTAAGTTGTTGAATGGGTTGAATACACCTACATCGTTTTATGAAACAATTGCTACTTTGGAAAGGTTTGCTAATTTACAAGAGAAATATTCCGTACAATTATGTTTGACCCGACTGACTATGTATCTAATCAAGTAACAGAATAAAAAAATCATTAATAGAAATAGTAATATTTACATGGCCTTAACGAAGTACAAAGTTTAAAACCTTTTTTTTCATTTTTTATGACTGCATTTGTCTTTTGAAATTCTTACATCGCGGTCGTAAAATTTGGTGTACCGGTACCCCCTCTCTCGTTTTGTTTGGTAAAACGCTAACTCTATGGTCTGTAAAAGTAAATATATACAATAAAAGATAAATTTACTCAATGAATAATGGCAGGTATATATATTTTAACGCTACGCCTATTTTCCCCCAGCAGGCGTCTGCAGACGAATAAATGTTACAACCTGGTTCACAATGCAAAAAGTTGGAAGAAAAGGAAGAAAGAAGAAAGTCATTTTTTTTTTCTTTTATCACAGTTATCATTTGTCATCTAATTTTCTCCGAGAAATATCACAAGACATTATTATTTCTTAGATTTTAAACATTGTAGACTTCACTTCCTAGGTCATCACCAAATACGAGTTATCGCCCTTTGAAGTACGATACGCTTCAAGCACAAAACATGAAAATAATTAATTTTACCGTCAGTTATGCTTTACTGAAAAAAATAAGCATTAATTTTTATGAAAAACATCATGTAAAAACATATGTAAGGGCATTTCGGTGGTTTTGTTGGGCATTTCGGTGATTTTTAGGGGCATTTCGGTGATTACGGGGCATTCCGGTGATTCGTGTTACCCTCAGGTTTGTAATTTATTATTCATTCTTCAAGCTATCATTCATAGTTTAATTTGTCATTTAGAAATTTCATAATAATAATAAACAGTTAAAAAGTAAACAGGGAACATATTGGAATAAAAATGTCTTTAATGAAAAAAAAATTATACAAGACATCATCTATAACAATGATTACAAGGTTACTGGTACATACCTGGTCTATTGGATATATAGTTATCAAAAATAAATTAATTTTCACCAAATAATTTAATTTATTATATCAAATATTTTAGCATTATATGTTATGTGTATTTTACAAAGTTCCAGGATAAACAATGTTGTAACAGTAAACACTATGTTTTTGTCACTACAGTAGAAGGGGTGCTAATTGTGCTTATTTATTTTAGGCTCAGCCACACCTTAATGAACATAAAGAGCTACTTCATTGAAGGCCATGATATGTTCTAACAGCTGATTCAATAAAAGAGGTACTACCCCTGGTACGTATTGTAGATCTCCATTGCAGGAGAAATGCCACGCCAGAATTTTAATAGATCTTTTAAGACATCCCTTTTAAACTATGCCTGTATCCGCCTTGAGAGACCTGGGTATTAGCTTTTAATTATTTTATTCAATTTATTGGACATTTTTCAGTGAAAATAATTTTAAAAACTTTTATTTACAAACAAAATGCTTATGGTTTAAAATTTGATGTTCATTAATAAGTGAAAAATATGAAGGTCTATATTGCATGGTTAAAATCTTCATAAGACTATTGTCACAACTAAAATGAACAATTTTAGTAGTCAGTCATTTAAAAAAAAAATGAAATTAAATTGCAAAATATTTAAGAAATATTTTTTTTGATATTTTTACCAATCCTGATCAAATTTAAATAATCCCAAGGACGATTATCAAATTAAAAATACGGACATCATTTTCTTGCCTTGTTTATGTATATTAGCTACTACTAAGAATTTCATTTGGTTGTCAAGGTCATTAACTTTTTAACCCACATTACATACAATTTTATTTCAACATTTTTTTTTGTCTTAAAGATCCATGAAACAAAATTATGATGAGGTATATTTCCTCATTTTAATTTGCACTACACTGTATTAACCAGCACTGGTGAAGTTTAAACAGGAATAACAGATCTGATTTTAAAAGAGCTGTAAAAAAAAGTATGTGAGCCAATGCACAATAGTAATACCCTCACTCTGATGTGAATATACACTTAGTATCATGTTAATGTTAAACAAGTTCAATAACGGGCAGATGCAGGGAAATAGTAAGATTACAGAAATGAATTTAATCCTGCTATATTGCATGCCTCAGCAAAGAATGTGCTCAAGTTTCAATCATCTGCAATGACTAGTTGCTGAGAAAGTTGTTATAAAATTTCTTTTGTATGATATGGACAGATGCACAAACAGGAAGTTGACATCAGATGGCATGCCTCAGTAAAGAATGTGCAAAAATTTCAAGCATTTGAAATGAGTAGTTGCTGAAAAACTGACACCAAAACTTTGCTACTGACAGACACATGGACAGACAGACACACAGAGATAAAACAATATACCACCCTCTCCTTTGAGGAGGGGGGGATAATAACTACTGTAGAGGTTCGGGCTATACGGACCGTGGATATCGGCCTGAATAGCTCAGTGGTTAGAGCACCTGACAAGTAATGCAGGGGTCCCAGGTTCGATTCCCGGTCCAGCCATATGTTTTCTTCGTGCATTGCTCCTTTCCTACTAATTTGGTGGACAGTGTGGGGGGCTTTGTTCAGGTTACAGTGTTTGTGTAAATTAATAATTCCTGGCAGGGCCCTAGAACTTGTGTCTTCGAGGTCGAAGACTATTTAAGTCTAAAGAAGGGAGGAATGTAGAAGTTCGAGCTATACGGACCGTGGATATCAGCCTGGATAGCTCAGTGGTTAGAGCACCTGAGTCCTGACTAGTAATGCAGGGGTCACGGGTTCGATTCCCGGTCCAGCCATATATTTTTCTTCATGCATTTCCCCTTTCCCACTACACTACATTTACATTTATTTATTTTATAATACTTTCAGCTTCATAGAATGTTACATGTATTTTCAAATAATTTATAACTTGGTTTAATTTTTGCATATTTTAATTTTTTTACAGGTTATTGAACAATCTCTGAAAACTGTCAAGTAAAGAGTCAGAACAATTGTAGATACATGCACAGAAAAGAAGAAAAAACTCTACTGAAACCATGGCTTAGATATCAACATAAAATAACTTCTTTTCTCAAGTATATCTCTTTCTCAAGTATTCCAAAAGTGGATCTTTTTCAAATTCAAAGTGAAGTATCACAGGGAGCATGTGAGATTGTGAAACAGTCTGCCTACAAAAATTAAAAGGGAGGAAAACATCTACAAGTGTACCAAAGATGGTTGCACACTATTGTTCCCTATATATTTTCCTTATGATTTTCATGTACAGTCTTCTGTGTGATTGTTAAGTTGGGTGCATTAGTAGACTTCTCTGAATCTTGTGTAGAATTTTACAATTTAAATTCTGAGGTAAAATCCTGTTTTTAGTGTTCATTCAGTTATAGTAATGGGCCACTCTCCTTTTGAACAGCTTCATGTCAAAATACCTCTCAACATTGAATGCTTATCAAATTGTTTTAACCGAATAAAAACATGTATCATATTTCCAAAACCAGATTTGTTCTTTTTTTTTTAAAAAACAACCACTTTTTAGCTCACCTGAACCAAAGGTTCAAATGAGCTTTTCTGATCAAAATTTGTCTGTCGTTGTCGTATTGTAAACTTATCACATTTTCATCTTCTTCTCAAGAACCACTGGGTCAATTTCCACCAAACTTGCCACAAAATATCCTTGAGTGAAGGGGATTCAAGTTTGTTTAAATGAAGGGTCAAGCCCTCTACCAAGGGGAGATAGTTATGAATTAATGAAAAATTAATGGCATCTTTTAAAAATCTTTTCAAGAACCATTGGGCCAGGAAAGATGTAACTCATATGGAAGCATCCTCAGGTAGTTTAGTTTCAATTTTGTTTAAATCATGACCCCCAGGATAGGGTTGGGCTACAACTGTAGATCAAAGTTTTACATAGGAATATATAGGCAAAATCTTTGAAAATCTTCTCCAGAACCACTGGGCCAGGAAAGATGAAACTGATGTGAAAACATCCTCAGGTAGTCAGCTAGTGTACCAGTAGATTCAAGTTTGTTCAAATCATGACCCCTCAATGGACGATTTAAGTTTTTCACAGGAATGAATACACTGGAAATTTTTAAAACTCTTCTTTTCAAGAACCACAAAGCCATGATTGGTCATATATTTAAGTAAGCATCCTCACGTAGTGTTGATTCAAGTTTGTTTGAGTCATGAACGGGAAGTAGGGGCTGGATAGGGTGGGCCATAATTGGGGATCAAAGTTTTGCCTAGAAATATAAAGGAAATTTTTTTCCCAAGAACAGAACAGCCATGTTTAATCATATTGAAATGGAGGCATTCTCAGGTAGTACAAAGTCATACAGGTTCAAATGAGGGCTCCCAGGGGTAGTGCTGGACCATAATGGGGGGAGGTCAAATGAATGAATAGGAAAAAAATCATCTGCGCAGAAACAGCAAAGGCATTTGTTTTATAGAAGCATCATCAGGTAGTTGGTAATTTAAAATTCCAGACTCCAACCCCCATGTAAACTTCTCAATGCTGAAATGATTTCTGCGTTATTTCCTAGCCAATGTGCTCAGGTGAGCGATATGGCCCATGGGCCTCTTGTGAATGCAAAGTGTTGCTACTCAAAGAAACGACCTGTCTCAATGTATGTACAGGTGTGTGAAATATGAAAGCACTGGCACAGTCGTGGCTAAAGTTAAATGTGGGTAAGACTTCAAGGTCAAGGTGGAAAGGTGAAATAAAAGGTACAAACGAGAAGGCCTTACAAGAAACACACAAGTGAAATATTAAAGTCTTAGCACCAATTGTTATAAATATATGGCCATGGTTAATGCTTTTCAAAAGTACATCAGCATCCAAGATCAAAATGTCAATATTATTTGTATGTTTGGGGAGGCCTTGTTGAATTGAATACAATTATGAAACATAAAGGTCGCGATCCTAATAGTAACTGCTCAAAAGTTATTCCCAAGGTTAAAGTGGGTCAAATTCCAAGGTGAAGGTCAAAAGGTAAAATATATTTTTTATAAATTCATATATCCATGCAAAGGACTTGTCACAGTAACGTATGAAACCCCTAGCACAAAATTTCACGCGCTGTAGACAAGGTGAAAATTGGGTAAATTCGAAAACTGATCATGCTCCAACGTCAAGATATCAAATATTTTGGTACACAATGAAAGATCTTGAGGGAATACATAAATTATGTTGAATATGAAAGCCATAGCCCCAACAATATAAAAGTTATGGACAATGTTAACGTTTTTGTGGACAAATAAACAGAATGGTTGAGAGGGCAAAAACTACATGTATATACCCATATTCTTTGATTACTGGGGCATAAAACATGTAAAACACATAATAAACATACCCCGTAATAACATCTTTACCAAAGAAAAATATTGAAAGCATCTCAATCTAATTTTGTCTTTCCGCTTTCAAATGAAAAATATGCTTTTTAGTCCATTGTCTAAACACTTGAAACACTGAAAGACTTGTTGCTAAGGAAAATTCAACATGGCTATTTCCATGGCAACTACTCAAATATGTTAGAATAAACTACGATTCATCCCTTTCTCAATATTGTTTCATTTGATGAATAGATGGGGTCTTGTTTGAATTACAATGTTACGATGTATCACCCTCTGTCTGATCTTAAAAAGACCAGTATTACTTAATACTATAACTCACACGCATAGAACATTATACAGCATATTATATTAAATGAAAGTTTGAAAGGTTTCCATGACAACTGTGCATGTGCCCATGAACACATTAACAAATTAAAATTTTTTAATGAAATAATCAAATGAATTAATGTTGAGCTAATTGAATTTTTTTTACATGAAAATTGAATATGAAGATCATAATTATGTCTCTTTTTACAACAAAAGCACAATACATGGACATATATAGTTGCTATGACAACTAGCAAAACTTATTTTAAAAAATCAAAATTCTGCACCAATATGCAATACATGTAGATTGATCCAAATTTTAGTTTTTCCAACAATTTTTAAATCAAAAAATATGTATAAACACAAGTAAATCATTTTGAAATATTTCTGATGTTGCCATGGCAACAATTTTGAAAGTCAATTATTTTGGATTTAAGAAAAAACACACCTTTTATTTTTTTGTATGTTTTTTGTTTAGTTCAAATTCACATTATACTTGATTGAGATGAAAAGCTGTCGCTGCGTTTTTCTTTAATTTATGCTCAAAAATGTATAAAAAATGCATTTTTCAAAAAATGGTCAATTCAGCAAAACATTGAGATTTTAGTGATTAAATTAGATACAATGATGATAGACAAATTTAAATAACTTGCATCAATTCTGTTGCTTTCAGTCTTGTTCTCAAGCAGATATATTTATTTCATATTCAAATTTTTCGGTTGTTTCATTATTTTTGATTAAGAAATGTCAAAAACAATGCTTTGAGAGGCGTCTAGGAGGCCATATTTGGGCCATGTATGGTTACCATGGTAATGGAACCCCCAATTAATTTTTTTTGCTAAATTTCAAGAAAGGGTGTTGAATAAGTAATAAATATAAAATTTGATCAAAATCGGTGACATCACCTTACCACCCATTATTGAGAAATTTTGGTTCTTATAGAGAATGGCTCTTAATTTGTCCTAGGGCATTACATATAATCACATCAGAGTTCAGACTCTAATTTAATTATAAAACATGTACGAGGTATACGTACAATAGCATGCACTTTGTTTTAATCTACTTGAATCGTAAAGACTTGAAGTCATTTGCATAGAATTAAACGGGAAACAACGCAACGTTGCCTTTTTGACGTAACTGACGTCATAATCAAATGTGTACAAAATAGCCGCTCGAATCGTCGAAATTGTGTACCAAAATTGATGACAAAAGCAAACCCGCGACCTACCTTAATTGATATTACAATGTTCTTTTTAAATTCATTAAATAAAAATTATGTTGCAGAGCAAACAAAAAATTAAAAGGACATAAATTCTAATAAATGATGGTGATTAAAGTGAATTGATAAACATTAAAGAAATATCTTGCATTACTTAATACCACTCATTACAAACACATTCAGAATAAAATAATAAAATGCAGAATAGAATCTTTGAAGAAAAATATTTGGTAAAAGTAAGTTGACGAATGCACATTTTGATATTTTAGACAGATCAACGATTAATTAATCATAAATAATCAATAATAAATATTTTAACTTCCTCACAGGTTATGCACCTCAGACAGTTAGAGCACTCCCTAAATTCCTAAAGTGAACGTAACCCATGATAGAGCACACCTATACCAAAATATGAACAAAATGTCATTGTTAAACGTATGTTATGAAAACACATTGCAACATTCCCATGGATAATCATTTTCTGTACAGTTCAAAGATAAAGATTCTATAAAATGCAGTAAGAAAATTTGCCTCATTTAGAATTTGGAAAACTTAAACTTGGAAGAAGGTATGGTAAAATGTCTTACATAAGCATTCTTACTATTTAGTGGTCTTCTTATGCAATATTTATTATAATAAATTTCTCAGGATAATTATTTCAATCAAGAAAAAAAATACATACATGTATGCATAGTACATGAAATATATGGAGATAATGAGCAGTATTCAAGCTCAATGGTCCATAAAACAATACAAAATAGGAACAGAGCAAACATGGACCTCCAAAACATCAGAAGTGGGATCAGTTGCCATGGAGGAGTGATTATCCCCTGCCGAATCGTCACACCCGCCGTGTGCTCCTTTTCATGGTCAAGAAATAAAGGGAAAAATCTTCTGTCAATTCAGAGTGTAAATAATGGACTAACAATTAATATGATAAACACAATATAGAGAAATATATTTATATATATATGCATATGAGGGTGGGTGGGGGGATGCGTACCTCAAATTTTTATCATAAAGTCCTAATATTTCATGGCCATCATGGATGTTAGACAAAATAGTAAAAGAATTAATACACCTCATAAAACAAATAATTATTCTGTACAGGCCCGTAGTCATGTTATTTTATAAAGTGGGGTAATACTTTATGTCTTTTTAACTATACATTTTATTTGCATATCTCTCTTTTCCAGACAGAAATGTTGATGAAGGTTTGCGCTTTGATTACTGTTGTTTGCATGATTGCAGGTAAGTTTCTTTTTGTTTACCCAGTCGTTTTATATACTGCAAAGTAAAACATTCTGCTGTATAACCTTTCAATAAGCACACTATAATGAATCATTTGCATAAGCATTCACCACTAACTTACACATTCATATTACTATGTTCAGCAAAGTAAGATTTTTTTATTTACCTAGAAAGCCTAGCGGTCTAGTGCGTTGTTCTTCCGATCTAGAAGACATGTTCATTAGGTAGAAACAATAATTTTCAGTTTTTATGTTTCTTAATTATATACTGAATTTAAATACAACTCGTGATTTTGGAACAAAAAGCGATTAAATATTGGTTGAATAAATCTTAAGAAGAAATCCTCCATAGATTTCCCTTAAAGGTCATCTTAGAAGGACTTAAAATTGTACGAAAGAAAAATTATGTTCTCTTTGATGACAAAAATTATATACTAATGTCTACAAATCAAATGTACTGCCTTTCGCACGAAATTCATCCCTACATTCTTGTGTAGTCATGGGATAAACACAATATTTTGCATGAAACAATTGATCTAGACTTTGTGCAGTACATAAAAAGAAATTGGAAAATATACTTGGATGATTGCTTCATCTTTTGGACAAAGAGTGAAGAGGGTCTTAGAAAATTCCAGTCAACAGACCAGTTCTGTAAAGAAACAGATACTCACGAATATTTGGACATTCAATCCTGCAATCTGTTACATACAAAAAGGAAAATTTCACACAATATAGCCAGACGTATTAATACTATTGTGACCAATTCTTCTCTACGATTGAAAGGACCAAGAATTAAAACAACACATGAAAAATTACACAATGAAACTTGCTGAAGACAGAATCAACCGGGTAAAATGCCTTTAACCCAATTAAGACACATTTTCCCATTTTCCCACACAGAGGAAAGCAACGCAAAGAACATCCCATTGTGATAACGCACAACCAACTTGACCACAATATTCTTAATTGAGCGAGACGATTTATTTATTGATTCAGAAATATTAGAACATAATTGACAAGGTTTTGAACTTTTTATACTGTAAGGCGTTTTAATTCCACATTGTTAAAATTTCACGATTTTCAAAAAGTTCTGATCGCGATGGTTTTAATTTCACGCTGCAAGAAATAAATTCTAAATTTGTATAAGCATTTAAACGTTTTCAAAACTAATAATAGCATTCACGATTGGTTTAATTTCGCGGGAATATGATAAATCGCAAACATAGTGAAATTAAAACGATTATTTGCCAATCTACAGTAACTATTTAAAGAGCCAACATGAATGAAAGCGCTAACAGTAGAGATTTTATCTACTTTGGACTGTAAAATTTGGTTTTTATTAAGGACAGACGAGACGTTCCTTAATAATAGATAAATTTTTCTAAGAGTTTGTCATTGAAGTATTGCTACTTAAACATGTTTCATCACAAAAAATTGAGGTACCTTACCAGGCATTTCTGCAAGATACCAGGGGTAGATTTTGTTAAATAATCCTTTGAGGAAAAAAAATAATTTTCCAATTTCAAAGTGTTTAAGTGTTTGGATTTTTTAAAAACGTTTAGAAACTGGTTTAGAAATCAGAATGTTATTAAAATTTTGAATATTTTTCATACATTACGAAGACATAAAAAAAAAGATTTTGAGGAACGTCTCGTCTGACCTTAATTATTTTTTACTATGATAAAAAAAAATATTGTCAAGCATAGGAATTGCGCTAATTTTTTTTATAGCAAGTTTACTCAATACAAGCAAAATTAGTCTGATCAGATGTTGAACAATTATACCTTTCTTTGATCGATTTGTATTAAGTTTTATTTTTAAAATAAAGAGAACAACAAAAACACTGGGTTTCTCCCAGTCAAGACGACCTGTTATAGGTATGTTAACTTAATATAATAAAATATATATTGTATTATAATACAGATTCTCAGACACATTTATATACGTATTTAGGTAACCGTGAAAATGTTGTGTAAGAGTGTTACATTATGTAGATGTGTACGTTAATAGAAAAATTAAAAAAATATATATATAATCTATCACCTACCAAATCATTATGTAAATTAGCATGTAAACTTAAACTTAATTTAATGAGAACTTGCGTCAAAAGCTGAATGGTCAAGATTAAGATATCCCCCCTCTTCATCAGCAAAAGTTTCCCATTTCTTTCATTCTTTTCTTTTTTCAGTGAGATAGGCACAAAAATTCTTTTAGTTAGCCTGTTTTTCTCTAATTAAGCTATTTCTTCACATGAATTAGGTATAGGGTTATACTTTTTCCACAAGGAAGTAAAGTGCCTATGACTAGATCAGTTAAATATATTTGAGCTTAAATCGTGTGTGTTTTATAAAATTGGGGGGAGGGGTGTTTTTCAAAGGGGTCTATCATTGTAAAATTTGATTTTATTGTCTCTATTTATATGCTTATTTTGCAAAGGCAAAAACATATTTATACCTTTACATGTACCTACCTGGTTTGTGGGGTCACAGTTACGTTACATCATAGATTCAACGTAACACAGAAAATTTTCACGACACAGTACGTATAGTAATTTGAATTGGAAATCTGTACGGAAGCAAAAGGGTTAAAGGGATATGTAAAGTGTGTATCTGTTGCTCTGGAAAGACTTTTTTAATCAAAAACAAAATTGTTAACATGTGACCTTGTCATGAAAAGCTAATCAAAACAAGATTCTTTTGAATGTTATAACAGATTTTTATACTTTTAATTAAAACTTAATCCCTGCGTAGGAGGAATTGTTGGAGAAGATACCCTTCAGTCTCGAGATTTTGTTGGCAAATAAAATCCTAGCTCGAATTTTTTATTTGCAAACAAAATCTCAAGACTGAGGGGGTATGTATTCTCCAACAACTTCGAAGACAGGATAATTATTTTTTATTCTGCTACTTCGAATACTTTAACACCTTTTTCGAGAAATGCAGAAGCAATGTGTAGACATCATCATTAGTGTTTCAGGACGTCACAATTAAATGTCATCCTCGTTTATTTGTATCCAAAGGATTAGAAAAAGTACGATGTAATTCAGACCCAAAGTACATCTTTCCAACCAATCTGCTTCACAATCAAAAAGTAAATATTTTCTTTTCATTGTGAAGGCAGGGAAAATTAGAGAAATCATATTTAAAATCATCGATAATTTGTTGAAGACGTTTATGATTTATTAGAGAATAATGGCTGCATCACCTCTTCCATTTTTTCAATTTCTTAGCAGAATATACAATTAATTACCCCTTTTGGGGTCAAAATGTTGAAATGAGGACCCGAGACCTGGCCGACGATGTGACCTGTCCTGACCGAGACCAATTTGCGACCGAGGTCAAATCAGCGATTGGGCCAGGTGAAAATTTCTTATTTCACCATGTTGAACTCACAACGGGTAATCAATTGTTAGATTATACCCACATAATGAAAATATACAGCTCAACAAACTTTTTAAGCCCACATGGTTTCTCGCACAAATTAAGGTCACATTTTTGTAATAAAAATTACTATTTTCGAACCTCAGAACGATGACATAGCCATACGTTTTATTGCATATATATAATGTCAAGTATAAATTTCCTTTAAAATAATTATCTTAAGTTTCCAAAGTGGATGTTTAAGAGGGGAATTTATCAATAAATGGTACGATGTTTCAACTATAGGCCTCTACCATAGGTATTTTACAAATAATATTAAACGTGCTTTCTTTGAAACAATGTAGTTGAAAATTTTAAATCTTCTTCTTAAAGGTGAGTATTTTTTAAAATTCTTTGCCCATTTACCATACTCATCTGGGTTTTGTCGAAATGTAGCACCGAAAAGGGATAACATTGCAGAGAGAAACCATACTCCAGGGTAGGATAATGAAGTATTGGTTTTTTTAATAGTAAATGTTTTCGATGAAAAGGAAAATTCTTCTGCATTTACGGTTTGAAACGTTAAAATTTTGCTGTGGGATGAATCTTTTATGATTCTAGATTTTTAGAAGGTGACTCTGAAAAATGCAACCTTATTAACATACAAAGCAGTCAAACAGATGAAAAATACTATTATTACCCTGCGCTAAAGAGTCAGAATGTACAGAAAATATAAGTTTCAGTAGCTGTACTGTGCCCGTGTCTATGCTTCTGCAAAGAGCTACTGCTTTCAAAAGAACAGATAAAAAGACAGCTGCAATTGGCAAGAGACTACAAAATATCAAATGGAAATAATTGTTATTTTTCAGCCAAGAATCTATGAAAGTTCTAGCAATTGATTTGTATGAATTATATTTAAGTAAATGACATAAAACTCAAATAATGTAAACAAATACTTTTAAAATGTATTTTGATGTCTCAATACACAATATTACATTATAACAATGTGACCTTAATTTGTGCGAAAAAACATGTGAGCTTAAAAAGTTTGTTGAGCTGTATACATCAAGTGTATGATACAAGATGTCTTTGATCATGATCAGAATTCACTTTAGAGAAGTTGTTCACGTTGACGTCTGAAAATCGTGTAAGTTTTTGCATTATAATTTCTGATTAAAAGAATATTTTGGTTGGCATTACATGTAATATGTACTATTAAAACTGAATTACTATTTTTGTGCACATTGGAAATCTGGCGCAAAATTCCACTTAAAAAAGTGTAGTCGCCATTCCCTGAAATCGAATTGAAACGAATTTTAAAATAAACGAACGATTAAATTTATGACGTATAACATGTATAAGATCTGTCGTGTTTTGTTTCGTAAACAGACAATGCACAGTTTTCCTGCATTAAATTCAATTAAAATAGAAATTTGATTAAGGGGATCACAATTAAGTGGACAGTAATTATAATGACCTGGTCATTTTATCCCATGTCCATCGATTTCATGGTCATTATTGTTGTAAACTTGTTGGAGTCATTGTTGAGTTTTATAGCCCTCTTACAAGCAAATCAATTTTTAGCATTTTCATTATACGTATAAAGTTTTTAATTATTTAAAAACATTGATTATGAATAGTTCAGCCAAATCTTTACAATTTTACAAGATTTTTTTAGGAATCAAAATGATAATATACCTATATTTCTATAGACCTTATACAGTTACGTTATAAATGTTTTTTTTTTTTTATTCTTAACATATTGTATTGATGGAATATTAATGGAATAACATTGTTTTTCAGAGGGAGGATTGCCGTTACAAAGGTTGCAAAAATCAAAAACCATGGACGCTATTTTACTTGGTAATTAGCTTTTGAAATTAATAAAAATGACAGCAATGGTTAATTAGAAAGAAACAGAAATACAAAACATGCCTTAGTGTAAACTTTTGTTTTGGCTCTAATCTAGAGTGTTTTTAAAAGATGAACTTTATGCATCCTATGTGGCAAATTTAAAAACGATCCTCTAAATCCAAAACTACATCGAAAACAACCGTGACATAAAAGTTAAATATAGAAAAAATCTCGAGTGTGTATCAATATTTGTATTATGTATTATTTTATCGAAAAGAACAACACATTGTGACTTTTAATAATTTTACTACGCATTTATTATGTATTATTTTAACTGCGTTGAAAAAGTTCATGCAACCACTCCGATAACTTTATTGTGAAATCATTCTACCTAATTTGTCATAAGCAAGGTAATTGACAACGTTTTGAACTTTTCATAAGTGTCTGAAGAGCCAACATGGCTGAAAGCACTAATAGTAAAGATTTTATTCAAATGTAGATTGTAGCATCAAGAATATATAACATGCCAACACAATTATTGCTCAAACACTGATAAACTTACCAACTAATGTAATTTCTAAAAAATGTTGTCTTGGATAGGAAATGCGGGTAATTTTTTTTTAAATTGAAAACTTATGCAGCACAAGCAAAAGAGGTCGGTTCAGATTTTGCATTTTTTCGGGTCGATTTGTATTAACTTTTATTTTTAAAATAAAGAAAGCAAAATAACAATGGTTTCACAAAAGTCAAGAGGACCTGGTATAGGTATTTTAACTTTATATAACATAATATACGAGGGTTGATCCAAAAGTAATGTCACTGTGTTCATATCTTAAATATTTGGCGTCGTATTATCAAATATTATGTACCATAAGATGCATAAAAACAAATCTAATCAAAATTGAAAATTTCATTCAATAATGTTTTATAGAATCCATTTTATAGACGTTTAAAATATTAAACATAGGGGGTGTTGCCGCGTCACAACTTAACGTCACGTTTTAAAGTGAATATTGTTAGAACGAAAAAAAGACAAACACATTAAAAAGCATCTAAAAAAGGGTCTAATCGCCCAATATTTCAAAAGACAAAATTTACGATATCTTCTAGTTGTTAGTTAAACATTTAATGACCCATTGTTATTTTTGTTCATAAACAGTGTTGTTTTAATCTGAAGTACTGAACAAAGGAAATGTCGAAATTGAATAAAACGCCGAAACGAGCTGTAATGCATTTTTCTTTCAAAATCCGGAAATTGCGAGTAGGGACAGTTACAATGATAAATCAGACTCACAGAGGAAAGAATTTGAATAAGAGACTTGTTTATAAATGGTTTCAGCGATTCTGGGCGGGGCTTGGGTCATGGAACGATCTGCAGAGGACATGAAGACCGAAAGATAGGAGGTCGGGCGAAAACGTTCAATGATGTCTGACTTTGTTAAAAAAGAGAGCGATATGAGAAACTTTAAGTTTGACTTATGGTACTGTTCAAAGAATTTTCATAGAGGACTAAATTATAAATAGAATGAGTTTAAAATTGGTGCCAATAATTCTTAAAGAAAGTGAAATGTGTGATTGTGCTCATGAATCTCAAACGAAGGGGAAGCGTTTAAGTGTACGTGTATGACGGCGCATATAGCGTACCCGTCATGTACGATGTTATTTAGGTGGGCGACTACCTTAATCGCACATGGTATATAATTCGATATTTTGAAAAGTATCAATCGTTTTTATTTGAATTTTTCAGAACTGATTTGAAATAAATATAGCTTCCACCATGTATAATTTTGTTAATTTACGTCGACTAGAAGCAATTTTATCGAAATTGTGACATTACTTTTGGATCAACCCTCGTATTATGCTATTATGCAGGTTCTCGGACACATTTCAAAGAATAAGCAATCAAATCTTTACATCCATTTTGGTAAACGTAAAAGCATTGTATTAAATAGTTTCATGTATGTAGATTTTAAAAATCTGCCACCTTCCCCAATTATTAGGAAAATAAGTATGAAAAATTAAACTGTAATTCATAATTGATTTTAGGCCCAGAGCGTAAAGTTCTGCAACTTTATACCAAAATTCCCCAATTATTAAGAAAATAAGTATGAAAAATTAAACTGTAATTCATAATTGATTTTAGGCCCAGAGCGTAAAGTTCAGGGTTAAGATATTCAACTTTATACACAAATATATTATATCATCGACTTTGAAAAAAAAAAAACGGAAATGGATATTTCTGGTACTTAATACATGTAAGATTTTTTTTATTATCTTAGATAATAAATAATTATTTAGATAATTATCCGACATAAGAAATGGGATTTTTTTGTTCTATCAGAAGATAGTAGTAGGTGGACATGTAGAATGGGGGATACAGGGAAAAAATGGCAGCATTGCATGGAATGACTGCTTTTTCATTATAAAAATGCAACTCGTTAATTTACTTAAAAAAAACCTGGTCATGTACATTTGCCGACTAAACATTTATGTAAGCTTTGAAAAATATTTATTTATTTGTAAAAATATTTCTTTTTGATTATTTGAAAATTAAAAAAAATATATCTTACCACAATTAGCAGCAAACAAGAATGACCTTCAGAAAGATACAGTAAAACATCTTAGTACGGTTTATCACAATCACTCACGCTATTTGACAAGAACGTAATATTGTACGACTTACTATATTGCTTGTTTACAAGCGATTGTTAGTTCGTTCCACATTCAATTAAGTAAACTGCGCTTCATTCCTTTTATTTGCATTAAAAAATAAAATATAAACGAAATACTTGTTTCACAGATAACATTCCGCTAAAAACTTACAAAACGAAATTTACTCGTTTCTAAACACACGTTCACGCACGATTAAAACCGCAAACGATTGAGTCTGTTACACGCACGATCTCGAAGATTGACATCAAAAAGATGCTTGAGTTCCTGATTGACAATATTCCAACTATTATTGGAATTCCAATGGATGCCGATAACGCTCCGTTATCAGCAGGCCTATTTTTGTATTCATATGAAGCAGAATTTGTGCAAAATATCATGCGTGAAAAGAAAAAAACACCTTCAACTCAACACTTAGATATAAATCGACGACGAATTGTCAATTAACAATGGTAATTTCCATTCCTATGTCGATACGATATATCCGGATGAGCTTGAGATAAAAGATATCACAGAGTCTGACACATCTGTTTCATACTTGGATATTTTTCTTGAAAAAGACGTTCATGGTACTCTAATAACCAAGCTCTACGATAAACGTGATGACTTTATATTTCCTATAGTCAACTTCCCTTACTTATGCAGCAATCTACCTTCATTATCTGCATACAGAGTTTAAATATCTCAGTTGATTCGATACGCAAGAGCATGCTATACGTATAAACAATATTTAAAACGAAGTAACTTATTGACAAACAAGTTAATGAAACAAAAAATTCAGCAGTTTTGTCGATATAATGACCTAGTTAGCAAATGCAATTTATCATTGAGTCAAAGGCTGACTGACGTATTTCATACTAATTGCTAAACAATACACTGAATTGACGAAGAATTTTTCCAAAATTTCCCGTTGAAGACAAGGAGCACACGGCGGGTGTGACCGGTCGGCAGGGGATGCTCACTACCTCTGAAGTTCCTGTTTGCTCGAGCTCTGCTCCTGTTTTGAATTGTTTTATGGACTTTGATAATGAATTCTATTCATTATCTCCATATTCTTCCTCAAACGTCAGCAAAAGTTTCCCATTCATTTCATTCATTTCTCTTTTCGTATGATAGGCGTAAAAAAATCTGTATGTTAGCTTGCTTTTCTTTAAATTCGTTTTTTTTATCCAGTTACGTTATGAGAGGCAATTTTGGATTTTAAAATAGTATGTATTGATAGAAAATTAAAATTGCATTGCTTTTGCAGATGGGGGATTGCTGTTGCAAAGATTGCAAAGATCAAAACCCATGGACTCTATTTTACTTGGTAATAAGCTTTGAGATTTTACATTATTTCATTAAAATGGCTACAATGGTTAATTAGAATGAAACGGAATTACAACACATGCCGTAGTGTAAACTTTTGTCTCGGCGCTGTTCTAATTTGTTTTCAAATTTGAACATTTCTGCATTCTATGCGGCAAAGTTAAAACAATCCGCTAAATCCAAAACTGCATCCGAAAAAAGACGACTTAAGGTAGGCTTCTTCTCTATTTAAATATTCAATGTATATTTGCTTATATGTCTTAAATATTAAAGTGAAAGAGATTTAAAAGACCATATTTTTCCTTCATTATCACAATTCTACAACTTTAAATAGAAATGGTAAATTGTGCCCGAAAACTAGCAGGGACTTTATTTTTTGGCGGAATGGTATCGTATTAAAATATGTTTTCTGTCTCTCAAAATTATTATAGAACAACGAATTTATTTATAATTTTTGCACAATCAAAGACTTGAAGAATTTTTCAAATGTTAGCTGAAATAATAATTAGGGACTAAAGTTTTAAAATATATGAAATAAATATGATTTTCCAAACAAACTACAATTATATTAGCTTTTAAAAGCGTCCAATCTAAGTACAGATATGAGCCAAAAATCCGTAGAAACCGTTTTTACTCTCTTTGCAAACGGTCAAAACATTTTGTTTTTGTATCATTTTGTATCTTCATATGACTTCTTTATGATATGTGAAAATAAGAAACATTTAAATATAGGGCGCATATAGAAATAACTTAAATATCCTTAAATATCCTAAAAATTAGCCAGATCCATTTTTTGTTAAACTATCTGTGTAAATTTGGTAATATCATCTCATAGACCCTATATGGTAATATTTTTTATGCAAAAAGAAAAACATTTCATCTTTTGAAATAGAAGACCCTATCGCATGATTGGATGCAGTCATTTTTTATTCTTAATGTCGAAGGAAAGGGTAATGACCCTGACCTTGATCTGATCTCTTATATAAAGTGCTCAAAAAGTAATCTGATAGTATCGCTTACTGATATTGTTTTCTGTGAAAATTTCAATAATTTTTAAATACAAGAAATACAGTTTTGTGCGAGAAGAATTCTACCTTAAAGTTAATTATTTAACAATTGATAGTATGTTTCACGATTCAAAATATATTTTTATATTATATTATTTTATTTTTATATAACATATAACCATTTTTTCGTAGATCAGTTGCGTCGGCACTGCAGTAAACCACCGCCAAAAGTAGAAATGTCTGGATTGGATTTCCTTAATCCAAAATAATCACAACGTTATGATTATCTATAGCAATTATTGTTCAACTAATAAAAATTTACGAACGAAGAATCGGTGGCAAAAGCTTAACATTTACTTCCTTAGTTTTTACTGATCCACACACGCACTATTACACATATTTTTTTAATAACATTGGTTTGCGTGTTCAATTGAATTCCCTATTGAGACATTATCTCTTGTCGATGGAGAACTGCAGCTTTAGACCTATCGTCGGGAATTACCTTTTGCAGCAGTGATCATTTTCTTGAAAACACACTCTATGACACTAGCATCGGCTTATTAGTTTTATCCAAGGTCTTCACGACCCGTAGGCGGTGTAAAGATAGAATCCTTACTTCGCAAAGGTTACAGGGAATGCTCTCACCACACTGTCACTCGGGCAATTATTATTATTGGTGATATGGTTTTAAAGAGGGAAGATATTATGTTCATCTTTTACATGTACATTATATGTTATTAAGTGTTGTTGTTAAGCTATTGTTATCAAGTTCTTATCAGTATACTACAGTTTTTGCTTTTATGGCTTTAACCTTGAAGATTAACGTACAGCAGAATGTACGAAATATTTTTTTATAAATTGATTAAAACTTTTCAATAAGAAAATGTAGAGATTTTTTATCTAACAAGTACATCAAAAGTGACAAGACTTTTCAAAACATTTATGTTTTTAACTACGAGAATTTGGAATAAGGGCATCTTAAGAATTTTTTGTTTGTTTGTTTGGGTCATCTTTAAAATGCATTTAAGTTTTCCTGCCCACTCCCGACTCACGGTAATAAAAATGGGTAGGTAGGTTCGAATAAGAATCTTTTCGGACAAAAAATTAAAATATATGTTAACAGGATAAAAAATAGGAATAAATAGAAAAAATATATATCATGTTTGAAAGGTTAATAAAAAATTAGAGTCCGGTTATTTTGCCCGTTAGTCGGGAAAGAACTTACACTAGTAGACATTTTTTAAAGGCCTTGTCCTCTCCCAAACGACAGCCTAAAATGGCCCGAAACAAAAATGTTCTAACCTTTAGAAAAATATATTTTTTTCTAGGAAACTCATCTTGTCAATGCATACAATGGAATTGTTTGAATGGGAAAAACAATTCCAACCTTCCCTCCGACCCAATGCTTTTAGCCAGAGTACGGAGAGAGCAAACAAACATTATTTTAAAGATGTCCTTAGTGTTATATTTTTGAACGAGATAGTATATGGCTTTGGTGTTCCATAAGTATATATTAAACCTGTGTCTTCATCTTTCAGAAAATATAATCATGTTTAATTTAATTAAAAATCTCTCCGGTCTGTCAATATATATTTTTTCGGAGAGCTACAGCCCTTTACCTGCAAGTTCTCTGTTGGTAGTCATTTTGTCTCTCTGTCCGTTTGTAAAAAAATTCAAAACCCTACTCCTCCTGAAGTTTTGTACTGATTAATGTCTATGAAATACTTATAAAATGATATACATCCTACATATTTTATGTCTGATATAACTTGCCACATGAGTAGACTATACTCAGATACGTAATTCTGTATATAAGATTTTGATATTAATGAACAGTGTTGTCATGGTTATCAAAAAAAAGAAACTTCCCTGAAATACTTTCAAACCTCTACTCCTCAATTTTAATTTGGTCTGATTTCAATATAACTTGACCATACTGAGGTACATAAATCTTTTTGCTGGCTTTTGATTTTGATATACGATGTTGCCATGATCACTAAAAATAGAATTTAATTTTTGTACTAAACCTGAGAACATTCCATATAATTTCTAACATTACAAAAAATTGCTTTGTTTTGCTTTTGAGTTCAATTCTGTCCTAAGAAAAAAAATACCATAGTTATAACTTTGACACTTAGAAAACTTTGATTTACTATATAATAGTGATCACTTTGACACTTTGAAAAACTTTATCGAAAACTTTGACACTTTAAGAAACTTTGGTGGAAACTTTGACACTTTGAAAATCTTTTGGCGAAAACTTTGACACTTTGAAAAACTTTAGAGAAAACTTTGACATTTTGAAAAACTTTGGCGAAAACTTTAAGTAAGTTAAGTATAGTTAACTATAGTTATTTTTTGTTAGGATGTATTTCGGCCACAAGAATTTTTAATAACCAATTTCAAAATCATGTCATCTTTCTATCCAGTCCTTGAGATAATCAGAGAACACACCCAAGTCAAAATTTTGATTTTTAGATTTAATTTTAAAATCTGTTCTCAGCCTACGGTCTTGAGGCTTGATACGTCTTTCTCTTTGAAAGAATGAAGGCAGAGCTTTTCTGGTAGAGGTAGGCAAGACCTTATATCTTCCAAATCGTTACATGATGCGGATATTTACAGCCGCAGCTTTATAAAATCCTGGGTTTATAAATTCAATTTTACAGTTTTACTGTTTACTTTTTACTGTATAATTGGAGTTCAAAATTACTCAACCATGAAATGTATGACGTCACGTGGGAAAAGTAGTAAAACGACAAAACACGTGCATATTGATGATACCGGGTTTGATAACAAATTTTGTAGTACAACTTGATGCACTGGAGGTACTGAGTATATAAATATTTACAGTCAGTATAAGTTTCTAGTGATCATGGTAGGGTTGAAGTTGAAGTTCATAATGTCTAGTAATTGAAATGCCTAAATAAAGAATCAAAAGCTACAAATGTACTTTTGAAGTTATTTAATAGTTTTCCACCAAAGAACATTTTATCCATTTCCAGAGAGGTATAGGAATAGTTTTTTATCAATCGTGACGGTGATGTTAGCGCCTACGCAAACGTCATACGAAGCTACTGAAACGATCCTAATAAAGTAAGCAATCATATAAATGTATCATATTCATTATAAACCTAAAAGAAATCGTCCACTTAATTTACGTCAACGGTACTCTCACTCGCGCATCTATGAGTCGTAAGTCAAATTATTCAGCATGTTCACCCCTGAGAAAAATGTGGTCACTCTTTACCAAGACTTTCTCGTAAATAATTTTCATTTACCAGATCAACTATTGTTTGAAATTCCTATCCTTTTCTCTAATCGAAAATTTCTGTGAATAACTCGACGCTAGGATTTAATGATTTAAAAAATCTTGGTTTTTCTTACTTCATATTGAAATGGGATTTTTATTTTGGGTTTTTTTTTTTGGTCATAAAATTAAGACATACATTTTGGAAGGTACATAAATATTTTGACTTGTAACATAATTTTTGTCTTGTCTAATTCTTATTTATTGAGTAAGAGTATGCGTTGTATGTTCAAATAATCATGGTTGATATCGATATAACAGCATATAGATAAGAGATGTGCATAAAGGTAAAACAATTTGTTAATATGTATAAAGCATTTCTAGCATATCAAAATATTGAAAACATAGAAATCAATATAACTCTTTCCAAATTCACATTTGTCATTGCATGAAACTATGTTAATAAATTCAAAATTACAAGAAAGCTTAATCTGAAACGAAAGATGAAAAAAATGTGGTTTTTGCTAATGCCTTTTTCTTACTACAAATACATGTAGTCATACTTAAATAACTCACAGTTAAGTTAGCAATAGCAACTTATACAGTAAGAGAAAAACAAATAAAAGTGATATAGTCTTATGAAGGCTATAGACTCTGAACTTTTTATTTGATTTTTCTTCATTGGTACCCATAGAAATATTTAGACACATTTCTGTTTTAATTATAGGATTAAATGAAGGATACTTAAACTATAAAATCTGATTATTAAATCTTTTAAATTCTGAACTTAATTAAGAATACGTCATGCTTATAATTTTTTAACTAAGATTTTACAAAATTACCTGAATAACATAAATTCACTGGAAGTAAACATATTACTGGACTATTTTGTACAAATGGATTGCATTTTTAATACAAAATGAGCAAATGAAATGTTTGTGTTTGTAAAAAAAAATCTGATGAAACAAAACAAAATTTTACATGTGTTGATGAAAGCATTCATAGTCTCGCATATCTGCTTTATTACATTGTACAGTTTTCGAAAAGAAAATTTAAAAGACTATTTCAATATCACTATATCATAATGAAATATAAAACTAATGATCAAATCTGCTCTGACCAGCAGTACCATGTACATTTTGAATAACCTCTTTATAGAATGTGGAGTCCGATTCCATACCACGCAAAATAAGATTGATAACAAACAAGTAGTGATAAAAGCTTGTATAATTATACACATATAAGGAAAAAGACACCTTCAAATACTTATTGAGTTCCGTACATTAGCTGGAAGCAACCACTCGTAAGGGTACCCATTAATTTGGTGTACAGAATTCTCGATGGAGTTGTTTCTTTGGTTTATTTTATCTCTGACTGCAATCAGATTTTGTTGAAATCTGCAAAGTAAGTTATTACTTATATATTGCTTAACTTGATTGCAAAAGAATTTAATTCAATAAACCTGTTGATGGAATTCATTAAACGCTTTAGTACTTTATACTCCTACATACTTTTGCACAATTCTTCTGCCAGCATTGTCCATGGCACGTACATACACGGCCTCATAGTTCCCAAGGCTGTTAGTCGTAATTGTGGTTAAAACCATCATAATTTTGATTGTCGAGAAAATCTTCTGTCCTGTAGGCATTGCTTCATCAAGTTCATGTACACCCTTTAGAAGAAAAGATGAAATAAACGTTAATAGAGATAAAAATGTTAAATAATTTTTCATTTTTATATTTTACTCATGCATTACTAGTATCCAAGCTCAGTCTTGGATATGTATGTTTTCTATAAGAGAAGCACAGAAATGTAAGACAAAAAGTATATTTACATTTTCTAATTCCGGTTGACCACTCAAAATAGCAGGCATATTTGGTGGGAATGCGTATTGTTCATATTGTGGAAAGTTTGTTGCAGAATGCTCCACACTGCAGATAAAGATGACATTTGCCAGCACGGTTACAACATTTGCTATACTGTCAAATTCTGGCACATCCTAAAAATAAAGTACGGCTTAGAGATAGAAACATATTTGTTCGTTTGGATAGGGATATCAAACGATACTCTGCGTTACCCCTTACATACGAAATTAAGTCAGCAAGAACGATAACTTAAATGTATACTGTATACCGGGGTACTAATTTTTTAGACCTACTGTATAATGATTTTTAAAACTTTCAGTTGCCCATGAACATTTTTGCCTGGAAATTAATTGATTCCACAGTCAGATCAGTCATCTATTTGCAAATTGCTTAAGATCATTACATTTTTCCCTAAACAATTTCAACATTTTCATGTTTATCAGAGAGGCACATTCAGCAGTACGTAACAATTAGTTCATGAGCCTAAATTCATAATTTCAGCATCATACATTATCTGTATCTCGTGTGTAGAGTATCATATTTTATAGGCCTAATTTATTTACGTTTTGAATGCATGTTGAAGGAAATGATTTCTATCATTGTCAACTTACAAATTTATAAAGAACAGTCATATGTTTTATTATGGTAGAATCTCTAATTTGTCAATGAGTAGAAAATCTATGATGCAGTCAAGACATTCCTGTCGATCAAAATTTGCATAAAGTTCAAAATGTTGATGGAAAATGGACCTACCAGCATGCCACATCCTCCAACATCCGTCAGAGACCTAGGTGCCACAAGTTCTGCTCTGAAGGCCTGGATCTCTTGGTCGTTTATAACTTCTTGATCTTCTTCTGTCATATATTTAAAGCAAGAAGAAACATAGGTAAAATTTTAATGACGAATGCTATCTTTTCTTTCGCAAGTCTTTTAATCTTATTTTTTTAAGTGAATTGATATAGTTTTCATTTTTTAACAACAATAATCAAAATTTTAACTGGTGTGATACAAACGGTAGTAGTGCGCAACATATTCATGAACAAATTTTTGTATGGCATCCAGTAGCTGCAGGGCATCGTCTCTGAAAAAGTACCCAGGTATATCCTGAAAGAGAGCCAAATATAATCCAATTAGTACATATTATCATTCAATTATTGTTCTCTCTCTCTCTCTCTCTCTCTCTCTCTCTCTCTCTCGCGCGCGCTCTCTCTCTCTCTCTCTCTCTCTCTCTGTGTGTGTGTGTGTGTGTGTATGTATAAGGATGGGTCGGTGTGAATGTGTGTTTCCTTTATTAAATGAATTTATAATTTATATTGTCAATCATTATATCTCTATAGTTTGAATGTGTCTAAATGTAATGAGGTTTACCATAACACCTCTTACGCGGAAGTTTTTTTCAATGGACCCATGTTCGTCAAATGACCATCTTTCATTACTGAAATTTACAAATTAAAATTAGAAATATGTTGTTTTAAAGTGGATTATGTCATGTCATTATTTTGTACATATTTCAATCATCGAGGCTCTTTTTCAACCCTCTTTTTTAAAAAATCTATATTGAATTTTACATTGAAAGTAGTTTTTTTAAAATACTACTACTCTTTCTTATTGTATTTCTAAGTTTTGTGGTTTCTTCTCCATAAAAAACATGATTATTCGGCTAGTGAAAAGGTACCATAATTGTTTTTCTATCTTCTGAATTATTTTGTTTTATAAAGAAACATCCCTTCGTTCATTCATTTACAGCGTTGCATATGATTAAAAGATTTTTGGTATTGGATGTTTCAAAATAAGTATAACTTTAAGAGTTATAATGATTCATGAAAATGTAGGTAATTTCTTCTACTCCTTTTTATTTACTCCTTTTATGAACCATACCAGGTCGAATTCATTCTTACTGTTTCGCTATCAGTTTCATCATATTCCTTTGTCCGAAGTACATATCTCTGTCCACATATCCACCAGGCTGGATCAGTTCTTTCGTAGCAAGACTAGAATAGAACGATTATTTGCAGTAAATTATCAAGAGTGTAAATAATTTGAATAATTTTAATTGAAACAATATAGACGTGTAAGAGAAGTGTAGTATATATGTAGAACTCCAAAGTGCAATGGGACTCCAAAGTCCGATGGTCTGCGCCAAAATCCAATGGTTTGACATGCCAAAGTCCAAAAGTGCGGAAAAAATTAACGTTTATGATGTCATATAGTACTACTGCGCAAAAATGCGATGCCGTGCCATGGCAATGCCTGATTGATTAAAATAAATCCAAATAAATATTAAATGCAAAGATTAACCGTAATCTTTTGGAGATAGGTGTGAGACTAACACTTATCAGTCGAAAAATGTGTAACAACTATAAGCTAGATATCTTGGATTGGTGCAGGACTAACCCAAATCAGTCCAATAGTGTGCGAGGACTAACCATAAAATCTCTCGTTGAGTTCATAGAAACAAATTGGTGTTCAAGAACTAACCCTTAACAGTCGAATGGTGTACAAGTACTAACCTTAATAACTCTGGTGGGCAAAAACAATAAGCAAAATCAGTAAAACTGTATGCGAGACAAGTACTAAATCAATGGATTTTGAATGCAGGACAACGTCATGACGTCGGACTATTGTGACGTCATAAACGTTGATTGTTCCTTCGCATCATCGGACTTTGGCGTATCAGACCATTGCAATTTAGCGCAATGTGTCTCATAGCCAACAAGCCATCTGACTTTGGCGTGACTATTGGACTTTGGCGTCCGTAAAGTCAGTGAGCCATCGGGGTTTGGCACAGACCATCGGGGTCTGGCGAAACCATCGGACTTTGGCGTCACCATAGCACTTTGGAGTCTTACATATATATTGACCAATATAAATTGACCAAACTCCATTTTTATCTTACTCGTTTATGAAGTGCATATAGCGGAAATGGGGAAGCATTAATTTGTATATAGGGTGCCTCTCGGAGAGATTTCTATGCATACACACGCTTACTCCGTCCATCAATAAATGAGTGAAGCCTACAAACAAAAATAATAAATGGTTTAATATAATTCTTTAATAATAACTTTAATTTACTGCTTTTTACTTGTACATCCAAACATTATGCAAATCTTTCTTTACTTTATAATTTGAAAATTTAGAATTCTTTTCCGTTCATTTATTTAATTGTTTAGTTAAATAAATTGTTTTATAATTATTATCTACCTGCCAATCTATGAATTAGGTCGAAAATATTTAAGAATAAAAAAAAAAGCCAAGAAATGTTACCTAAATGAGTGACCGACTCATGATATTGGGCATCCAACATATTGAACCACATTCTGCCTTTGACCCAATTGCGTAGATTGTCCATGGAATCTGAATCTAATTGAGGAGGCTTAAATACCTGAAATCAGTTTTGTTATATAATTTTCTTTCTTGTTATTCCACTGCATGTCTATGCAATTGCTTAGACTGTGAAAGGAGGTACTGTAGTAAAAAAGGTGAAGAAAATGAACAATAATTGATTTGAAAAAACAGGCAGTGAAAATCTGTGCTTCCTGTCACGGTAGCTTATGATTTCAGAGGTTAGTCTGGCTTTTATGTTGCTGAATTCTAAAACGTTAACATAGTATAGTGTCTGTTACTTCACCAAGAGCCCGGCATAAGAACTATTATTCGAGGGTCCTTCAGGAAAGTCCTTAGAACCCGAGGACCTGTATCACAATAGTTGTTGGCACGATAAAGACCCCTTACTGTTCAAAGCTTCTATGTGTTGAGTATAGGTCTAAATTTGAAGACCTTCACCAGCATGTGGCGACGTCTCTAAATGAGTTAAAAAATACTCGGGTGGAATCAATCAATCAAATCAGTTAAAAGGGCATAAAACGTGGACACCATGAAATGTCAGAGATTGGATCGAGAGCAGATGAAGGCAATAATTGCCTTCGATCTGTCAAATCCCCCATGACTCCTATGTTTTGATTAGGAAGACGGATTAATCTATAGACATATATTAAAATATATGTAAACAAAGGCCTACAAATCGGTATGAAATATGTCAGTCAAAATAAGATTTAATGATAGATTGAATTTGCTGACACAGTCATTTTAGTGACCATAGAGTTTACGAAATGCTGAATTTGAATTTTAAAATCCCTGTTACATTATTTTATCTGTCAGAAGTAAGCCCCGGTTTAAAGGTGTTCGTATTCAGAGTATAATAGGTTGATAAGGAAGTCCAACAGATGTTTAAGAAGGCCTACTCTGTAAAGGCTACTTAGATATTGTAGATGGGGAACTACGGCATCTTTTAAATTACAAAATCAGAGTATTTGTTAATACAATTAGAGGTAAATTTGTAGATTACTTTTTACACCTCACTTAAAAATGGCTTCCTTATGCAAGAGAAAATATTTTCCATTTAGAATAAAATATTTCTTTTTGAAAACATTTCAAGCAAGGTTTAAAAGCAATATATTCATGGAAATCAAGATAAAATTATCTAACTTGTGAAATTTCTAAGTAGTCCATTCTTTTATACATGGAAGATTTGATATGTTACCTCCTTATTATCCGGTTTCCGTGGGTCAATTCGAATTGCTACGGGCATCAGCAGGTTGTTGTATATCACAAACAAGGCAATGGGAGCCAAAAGCTTATATAAATACATAATTAAATAAGATTAAAAGAATAAGTTATTTTGAAATTAGTTGCTAATCAAGCTTCCTGCATAGAGAGAAAACTACATAACTTAACCTAAGCTTTGCAATCAAATCAAAAGACACAGAAATAAAAACGAAAATAATCTAATTCAATCGCTGGGTCCTTGATTTTATAAAATTGGACCGGTTGACAGGAGACACTTATTTTCCTAAGCACCCGGCACTTTATGATGAGAAGAAAACATGAATACCTAGATTCATAGTTTGATCTGGTGCCTAGGGGGAGTAAGCATCCCTTCTGACCACAGAGGCTTGTGTAGAGAAAATAAATCAGTTAGAAAACTAGTGTTAATTGTAACGGGGACCGTTACAGATGTTCCCAAAAGGCTCCCCAAATCCCGTTTTGTGCCTTATTCCTGTAAGACTTTTTATACTTGCTCAGTATCGAAGGATTTCATTTAAAAATAAAAATATTACAATGATATTAACTATATGTCATTTAATATTTTGCATGCACTCGCACGCTCATACATATGCAAGATGACCATTGCATGTTGGCTAAACGATTAACATATCTTTATATACTGAGAATCAAAAAAATTAATACAAACATAAATGTTACCATTTTTTCTAGTATAATATTCATTTTGCACATGTGCACGTGCATGTGCGTCCTTGCATTCAATTTTGATAAAAGCATAAGGTGGGAATTCATTATACCCATTCCTATTCTAAATTTCAGCCCGTTTTGTTGAGAACTAAGAAAGTTGTAGACATTCAAATTTTCAGCCTATCAAATTGCAGCACACGCGCATGCACGTGATATCATGATAATTCTAATACATCATACTGTAGATCTTCATAATGTATGACTATGTTCAAAATTTCAAAGAATTATGACCAAAAAGAAAGATATTGAGACTTTAGTTTCAGCCAGAGCGACGAACACGTGCATGCGCGTGAGATCTTGCTATTTTGACCATGTCATCTTGTCTATACTACTTTTAAATCCTTACATTATGAGATTCAAAACATTTCATCAAAAATTAGAAAAGTTACGGTGATATCCATTATATTGATCATTTCACATGTTGCACATGTGCACTCTTGCAAGCACATGCGCGCAAAATTACCTTCGTTCCGCAAATCTACATAACATGCGATATGTCTACTGATCCTAAAAAAAAGGTTCACCTAAGTCAGATATGTAGTTTACAAGATCACTCGCGGAAAAAAATTTCACAAGAAGAAAATAAGTATAATAAGAAACAGAGTGAAAACAATATATTTTGTTTGGGGAACATTATTACAATGTAGTCCCACGGATTTAAAAATCACGTGATTTTTCTACTAATTTTCTAACTGATTTATTTTCTTTTCAATTATTCTTTATTTTCTCGACAAATGCTAATGGACGTTTTAACAGTCAAGTTGTCTTTGTATTTTTTCTTCAAATTCTTTCCATATTTACCGTTGGTTCATTAAATGATACATCAGCCAGATCTACAACAAACAATGTCTTATCCTGTATGTGGGACATAAGCGACTTTCCACCAAGATATGGATGGTCATTCTCTATTGCTTTTACAAATGGTCCAAATCTAAATAAAATACGAAATATTTATATCAAAATTTTGTTCTAAATCAAGAAATCAGTACATTTTGTTAATGTTAATCAGTTTCTAAAACAAGATATCATTAAACTTGTTAAAGGATTTTTTTAAAATCCAATTTATGATTTATAAATAAATTTCTCGTGATAGAAAAACAAATACTGTTGAGGAATTTCTGTTGCAAGTTTGATGAGATTTCGTGTAACCCCATTCAATCTCTGCCACGCAAACCAGTGGTCAGTTTGAGCCTTCTGTGTCTAAAAAAAAAATTAAAACGACACTATAAAAATTCTAAAATCCGAATTTTCTTCGAAGACATGAAGTAAATTGGATACTCATCGCAAAGTCTACCGATAAAATACTTTCTTCTTTGAAATTCAATTTGTTTTTTGCTCTAGAGTTAGAAATATACGCACAGCAGTTTGATTTGGTCTATTTAAAAACTCTGTTCTCCACACTTCACAGCCCTAAAAATTGTTCATAAAGATGTTAACTATATTCTTACGTTTGAATGGAATGCACAAATATATAGTTATTTATGGTAAAATCTTGAGTTCTATTCGTAAAAAGTAAATTTGTTCACAAGGCAATAACTAATTTTTTTAAAGTTGTTTTTGCTCAGACTACTAAATAAATATTCAAAATTGTGCCGAACATGTAATTATCTTTGTTGTGTAAGTGCATGTACATTATTTTAACTTAAAGAACTTGTTTCGAATGAGAGATAGGAAGAAAAAAAGAGCGATATACAAGAAGAGAAAACATCTAATTCGTTATGCACTGCATTTTCTGATTTTTTTAAAAGACATTTTGAGGTATGGTTTTGCTGGAGATGTAGAGAAACATAAAAACATGAGTCACAATGATGTATTTAGGAAGCAAATCACTTTCTGTCTTACCTTTGGTTCTTCAAGAACGCAAGAAGATGTAAAATGCTTGATTATTTGTCGAATTGTCCATCCACCACAATGACAGCATTGAAAAACTCGTTGATAAAGAAAATAAAACAAATATCGGAATGCAAATTTCATCTGCAACAGGAATGAGAATTTTATGTATATTTTAAATACCAACAAATACTATCTGTCCGGTTCTGTTTTATGAGAATGGATGGAATTTGAATAGTTTAAGATGTACAGGTATATTTTTATCCTATACTTGTTTAAATTGTTCTATATATTCTCTTATAACAGAATTAAACCCACGTCTCTTTGGTTTTCACAGTGGATTTTGAATATTAACAAAAACATTAGCAAAATGTAATTATATGGATTTCTTCAGAATACTGCATTTTTTCTTAATTTCTTTTCTCAAGGAAAGTTTGGGTATCCTCATGCCCCCACTAATATTTTCATATAACAATATTTTTGAATATTCTCAGTCTTTCTACATGTTCCGATTTCAGTAGAAATTTCCACGTCCACGTCCATTAATGCTTAATTTCTTTACGAGGAAAAAATGGCCTTCAAAAGGCGGTCACACCTTTATTCAATATCCAAGGAAGTTCAATCATCCTTATATTTATCACGCCACTGGAAAACCAGGTATTCGCTTTTTTGTCCAGCCTGTATTAGAAGTATACGAGGGTTGTCCAAAACGTCCGTGGACAATGACGTTTTAGTGAAAATAAATGGTTTTATATGCATCTACGAATAGTGTATATCAAAATATTTTTTATGAAAAACCAAGTCAGAATTTTTATTTATGAAACTTAATATTTTGTAAAAATAAGCGTCTTTAAAGAACGCAGATTGTGTGTACGGACCAGTCTGACGTTAAGCTAATTTCATTATAACGTCAAACATTTGGATTTTGACTTAATACATGTTCAAGGGCACACACTTTATTTCTTTTTTAAGGCGCAACACATTTTCAAGTGCTAGCAATAATCTTTAAGTATAGATTATAATTTATTCAATTCTTAAAATTCAAAACAATGCACAAAAATTTACGAGCGTCATCTATAAATAGTTTGTATACACAAACTGCACAGCCAAGTCTGACGCTGTGCTAAATTTTTAACAACGTCATGAATGGAAATCTCCATTTTCAGTAAATTACATATGCTTTTTAAATTCTTGTAGTGAATTCTAAATTTGTACACATCTTTAAAAATCGTATAATTATACCAATCTCAAAATCAATATACTAAATATATTTCAATACTTTTCAGTTGTTTTAGCAAGTAGTTTGTCTCTAACTTCATTTCAACCTTATTAAAACATATTTTTTGATCGGATGCTGCCCAGTTCGGACCGCCGACGTCGCTTTTTCTGTCGAGTCTAAACACATATTTGTTACGGTTTTTAGCCGGGCTTGCTGAAAGCATAGCCCTGGCTATAGGCATCATGACAGCTTCAGTTACTATAAATAGACAATGTAAACAAAAAGCCAAACAGCGTTTAAGAAGAAACTTCCAATATACATGTACAAAATAGTTTTACTTAAATTTATCAAATAGGGCAAATCATGAAATAAAATGCAATTTTTCATTGGTGAGAAAACAAGCATTAACAAATTTTCGTTTCCAATTCATTGTCCACGTTTAGATCGCGAAATTGAACATTTTCATATATAACACCCAATCGTGACTACTAGTCCAGTACCGAGTTTTACGAAAGGTCGTAAATTTTGCCGTAGACGTAGACGTAAACGTATTTACGACTGAATTTACGTGTGCGTAGTAGCGTTTTACTGGTCGTATCTGCGCCCGTAAACGTAGCGCTAACGTAAAGATTATTTTAATATGGAATTTATTAAAAGGTAGAAAAACTAACCTAGTAACGGAAGCTACGCATGCGTATGAGCTACATTTATTCAGATGAATCAACAAGAAATATTAATTAACTGAAATGAACAGGCAGCATCATTAATCTATTAAAATAATTATCAGTAAAAGAAATAATAGAGATAAGATGGGGTTCCTTGATTTTCAATTAATTTTGCCGATAAAAAATCAATTTTCCGAGGTGTTTTTTTTAAAAATGATTTTAATTAATTTTCTATCAAAAGAATAAGCAATTAGTCTTTATTTTAAAAAAAAATCAGAATAGATGTCAGTTGTGATTTTTGATTATCCATTTATTCTAGAAATATAATCCTAAAATGGGAGAAAGATATTAAAAATCTATAAGCCAATCAAGAGTTATGAACTAAATAATTGCATATTTTTTTTTTTAAAATTACTTTTTTCAGGCTGTTTTCATAAGAGTACGAGTTAGGTTATGGGCATATTGAAAAGTTTATAAAGTACATGAAAAGTTTATACAGTACATGTATCTGCGCGTTACACGTGGCTGCCAAATTAATACGCATTGAAAAATAAAACTCTGAAAAAAAGCTTTCCTCTTTACATATCTCAATAAATTGCTGAAAAGTTAGCATTTTACTTAGTCGTGCATTATAAGTGTTTAGAGATTAAAAGCCCAAGCATTGTTCATGATAGAAAAAACATACTGTTAATAATTATATTTTTCTTAATAACAGTATGCAATATTGGTTTGCTAAAACTTTCTCTAATTTCTTTTCTGTAAAAATTTGAAAACAGAAAAAAAACTTACATCTTAGATTGTTATTTTCTAAACTTCTCTCTCTCTCTCTCTCTCTCTCTCTCTCTCTCTCTCTCTCTCTCTCTCTCTCTCTCTCTCTCTCTCTCTCTCTCTCACGTATATAGTTTTTTTTATGTTATCAATGTACAAGAAGGCCATGTGATTTGCGATAAAATGTCACATGATCCGTGAATTTTTTTTTTTTTTTTTTTTTTTTTTTAGAAATTCATTCTTTACATACAATGAATAACAAAGCACTGATAAGAGTATACATTGTATCATGTAACATGTCTGCATATAATAAAAAAAAATCTTTTACAAGAGGTGCATTCTATTTTGCATTTCTAAATTATGACGTAATTTTCTGTATCCATTGCGTAAATTCTTCTATGACGTCATATGGCTCCGGGAAAAAAGATAGGCCTTTACAGTGTGCGGTATTTTTTATTAAAATGCTTTTGTTAAGAAACTCTGTCATTTTTACGTAACAAATAAAATTTTGTTATATTTTTTAAAAAGTTTTCTTCCGTAAAGATGTACTTGTACATGCAGGCTTCATATTTATAGGTGTAACATGATAGTAAAATAAATTGCAAGTGCTCAAATTTTATTTATAGCGATTGAAATCGAGGTTTGTGTTTGTTTGTTTTTTTTTCAACTTTATATTTTCTTAAAAATTCATGTGACAACGTAATACCAATTTAACATGGGATTCCCCGTTTTTACGAGTCCTTTTTCTTTTTTTTTTTTTTACATGATACAGTATATAAATTTAATAATTGATTCTGTACCCCCCTCCCCCGCACTTGTGCCTATAAGATTTGAAAACAACAAATCGTTTTATGAATACTCTACACTTCAAAATTAATTGCGTATTTTTTTTATTTCATCTTTACGTAAATTTTCGAGTATGTCCATAAGGGCATTATATTGCACAAGTTGACATGTTATTATTATTCGATAAACTCCAGAAAAATCACGGGAAATAAAAATTGTAACATGAGATTGTATTAATGAAAAAATTAATGACTTTTATCCCCCAAAGATACATTCAGATTAAAGTACTAGTCATATTTATAAAGTTATAGTAATATTTATAAGGCTACGTGTTTTCCTACGACTGCTATAGGGCACACGTAGATTTTCACGTAAATCTACGTCAAATCGTAAGATACGACTTTTAGTAAAACGCAAAATCGGTGTAAGTTACGGCTACGTCTACGCTTACGTCTACGATTTGACTTACGACCTTTAGTAAAACTGGCTACAGAATCGTAACCAGAAAATAATCGCGAACATGATCCGATTGATGCGCATGAATATACTATTCGAACTTCTTTCGATAGCCTTCAGCTGTTGACTGCAAAGGAAGACGACATATTGAACTGAGAAAGAAAGTTGGTTTGGCTATAGTAATCTGTAAATAGCAAATTTTATTAATATTTGAAATATTTTTTCTCTAGAGCTGAAAGAAATCATCAAATACGGCGTTACGGTAGATTCATGTACGTTTTTAAATGTTCATTGCATGATTAGAACATTAGATCGGGCGCGTGTGCCGATATGTTGTATTATTTGTAAACATTAATTTTTACCAAAGGCCTAGATCCCGCTAATCAATTAGTCGTGATTTGTGATATAAATCATATTTTGAATATTATCAGTTTCATGAAATGAATCAATAAAAGTTACTCTTTCCTTGATTTTTTCTGTGAACGAAATTACTTGTATTGATCTAGATCCATGTCATTGCACAATTGATGCTAGAAGTGGGTGCCTACCGCTATACTCATAGTTTAAATTGTTAGTAAGCATGAGTTTTGGCAATGATTATCTTAATTTATTTTGTATTTGAACAAACATTAAGAGCGCGCGCGCGCGCGCGCGCGCGCGCGCGCGCGCGCGCGCGCGCGCGCGCGCGCGCGCGCGCGCGCGCGCGCGCGCGCGCGCGCGCGCGCGCGCGCGCGCGCGCGCGCGCGCGCGCGCGCGCGCGCGCGCGCGCGCGCGCGCGCGCGCGCGCGCGCGCGCGCGCGCGCGCGCGCGCGCGCGCGCGCGCGCGCGCGCGCGCGCGCGCGCGCGCGCGCGCGCGCGCGCGCGCGCGCGCGCGCGCGCGCGCGCGCGCGCGCGCGCGCGCGCGCGCGCGCGCGCGCGCGCGCGCGCGCGCGCGCGCGCGCGCGCGCGCGCGCGCGCGCGCGCGCGCGCGCGCGCGCGCGCGCGCGCGCGCGCGCGCGCGCGCGCGCGCGCGCGCGCGCGCGCGCGCGCGCGCGCGCGCGCGCGCGCGCGCGCGCGCGCGCGCGCGCGCGCGCGCGCGCGCGCGCGCGCGCGCGCGCGCGCGCGCGCGCGCGCGCGCGCGCGCGCGCGCGCGCGCGTGAAAAGAATAGAAGCATTGTGTATATATTACTGTGAAACATCTAAACACAATATAAATCAAAACAATTGCAAATATTGAGTATATGTTTATTTCAAAATTAAAGTTACTTGGAGTTTAACTTATATGTATCTATAACAAAAGTGATATAAGAAAACTGCATTATGTTGAAATTAAAGTATATTGGAAGTATTTGAAAATTATATGAAAGGTGTTCCAAGTATTGTAGACTTTTCTGGGGTAGTGGCCAACTTTTTTTCAGGGCCAACTTCCTTTAACTTCCATTTTTTTTAAAATTTCTTGCTATGAATATACTGTGGTAAAAGGGGGTGGGGGGCAAACCATCTTGTCAATGGATATTTTCTATAGAAAGGTAATGTTGGGGAAAAAAGTGGAGGGGGCAGGCCCCCCTCCTGCCCCCCTCCCCCCCCCCCCCGTTGCTACGTGCCTAAAATATATACAAGTCATCACAAATAAGAAAACAATAATGTATTGTATTCAAAACATATATGTATTAAATGGATTGTAGAGAAATCGTATGGTTAAAAATAATGTAGGTCCTTTTATTAATATTTTACATAGAAAATGCATCGAAAATTGTGAAAACATATATTGGACAAAATCTAAAAAGGAAGGCTGGTTTGGTGGGCTAAACAAACCAGAATTAAACATATTTGGTACCTTTGAATGTGTGCAAGAGTCCTTGAAAAATTCTATACTAAAGTCAGGAACGTTGCCAATGTCTTTAACAAAACTTGAAAATATTAAAAAAAATTACCTGAAAAATTTACTCGTCCAGCATACATATTGTAGAGCTCTACACAAATTTACATATTATTGTCTGAAAAATTATTATTCTTTTGCTTACAAAGATTTGAAAAATAGCAATGTAGATTGTGACCTAAAAGCCCGGTTTGATTGTTTAGTATTTGCACTTCTATATAGTAAGCGATACTTGAGATATCATAAAATGATTATTGCCTCTTTATTTGTGTTACATAATTTTTTTAATTTAATTTTTGACTCGTTTTATATAGCAAATAAT